ATAGTGTGTGCAAATGCATCTCATGTAGGAATGGGGAAGGACATTGAAGGGTGCGCCGTGGCAGAAGTCAGCGGTGAAGCATTCCTGGTAGAGGGGAGGAATTCCTTTCACACACAGGCCTTTGGAGGGGTCAGAGAGAACACTCCACGCACTGAAGCATAGCGCTGATGCTCTCCTGCTGCTCTGTCAGTATGCTGCGATTTGCCCTGGGTTTTCTGCTCGTCATCCTTCAGCCATCCACTGGGCAGTTCCCCAGAGTCTGTGCCAACGTGCAGAGTTTGCTGAGCAAGGAGTGCTGTCCCCCTTGGGATGGAGACGGGTCCACTTGTGGGGAGCTTTCCAGCAGAGGGTCCTGCCAGAACATCCTTCTCTCCCAGGCTCCGCTGGGACCACAGTTCCCTTTTTCAGGAGTGGATGACAGAGAGGACTGGCCCTCTGTATTTTACAACCGGACGTGTAGATGTGAGGGCAACTTCATGGGATTCAACTGTGGGGAGTGCAAATTTGGCTTCTCTGGGATCAACTGCACCGAAAGGCAAGTGAAAACAAGGAGAAACATCTTCCAGCTCACCGCCAGTGAGAAGAACAAGTTTCTTGCCTATCTTAACTTGGCGAAGAACATCCCTAGCCAGGACTATGTAATTGCTACTGGCACGTATACTCAGATGAATAATGGCTCCAACCCCATGTTCAGGGACATCAATGTGTACGATCTCTTTGTGTGGATGCATTATTATGCCTCTCGGGACACACTCTTAGGTGGGTCCAATGTGTGGCGGGACATTGATTTTGCCCACGAAGCCCCTGGTTTCCTGCCTTGGCATCGGGTCTTTCTGCTGATGTGGGAACGTCAGATCCAGAGGATAACGGGTGATGAGAACTTCACCATCCCCTACTGGGACTGGCGAGATGCAGAGGACTGCGAGGTCTGCAATGATGAGTACATGGGTGGCAGACATCCCAGCAACCCTAATTTGCTCAGCCCAGCATCAATTTTCTCCTCGTGGCAGGTAAGAGCCAGCCAAGGAAAGGGGAAGGGAATGATCCCATCTGATTTTAAGCACTTGGGTGAGGGGCACAAGATGGAAGCTTAAACGCTCTGCCTTTCCTTAGATACTCCTGGAGAGAAAGTTAGCAATACCAGACAGCAAATTGGATTTTATGTGGACCTAATCTTCACTTAGAACTGTTCATTTGTAACTGTTTCTCATTTCTTTCTGACTGTAAGGTTTAGGATGTTTAATTAAATTTCTAGCACACGATTATTGCAAAACAATTAGTGACTGAATGATGGGAAGTGAAGCAAAGGCTTTTCAGGTGCTCTACCCTTCCCCCAGTGTATTCCTCCCTTCCACAAGTTAAAAACTATCAAATTAAACTAACCTGCTTTCAATGTTGAGCAAACAGACAAACAAGTAAATCACACCTTCAGAGCAGAGAAGCCTTGTCTGTGTAATTCACATCAGCAGTTCAAAGAAATAGAGAAGAAATAATCTCAAAGGAACTGAGAGGCAAATGCAATAGTGATTCCTGCCAATTAAAAGCACTTCAAATGAACCCATAAAACACAGTGAAAGTACGTTTACACAGAAGTGCTAAGGTCTCATATAGCTGAACTATAGTGTCCTGTTCTAACACTGAGAGCCCTTTTTTGTCTCTTGCTCATCACTGACACATTGTCTGAAATACAGTGACAAAGGTCTATTGGCTTCAATAGACACACTCCATCATGACAACACCAACAGTTGCTTCTGTCATTGAAGTCTATGACTTCAATGAAGTCTATGTTTGTCTAAATCTATCTTCTGTTTATTTCTGTAGCATTTCTGTATTTATTTCTTTTATATATGTATTTATTTCTGTAGCAGCAGCCCAAATGAAGGTTGGGCAGTTTTAGTGATTTAACAGAGAGACAAATTCAAGCAGCTCTGGGATATTCTGGCATATTACAAATCAGCACCCAATTGGGCTTGCTGGGCTACTTGTGCTGTATTTAGTTTTGATTTGTGCTCTCTGAATAATACAGGGTGTGTGTACCTCTGTTATACACACATTCAGAGTGTGTATACCTCTGAAAGCATCTGGAAATACAGAATAACAGAAGTATTTAGGCTATTCTCTGGCATACCTTTTTCTCCTTCAGACAGGCACCATTTCAGGGGTCATTCCCAGGAGAATGTTTGCATAGAGACACCCTGTCTATGAGACTAAAATTATTTTACTGACATAAACATGGATTATTTGATGTCACTTTACTTCTGTGCCTGGGAAATTTCCTGGACACATTTAATTTAGTGTTTGTATAGCCATAAAATAGATACAAATACAAACATGCATTTTCATTCCATTTTCTAAGATTCTTCTTATTTCTAGAAGTTTTAATTTGGATCAACTCTACTAGCTTAATTAGATTGTACTGTCAGAAAGAAGTAGATCTTTTGCTGTTCTGCTGTAAACTGAATAAATTGTTGTGTGAAAATGGTATATGTGGTTAAGTGGATTAAATTAAACCAGAATTTCACTAGTTATATGTGAAAAGTGGAGCTATCAATACAGTATTTTGGATGAGATAACCAAGGTAGGAGGAGACAGGAAATACACAGGAATCAGCAAGTTAGCAGGATTTTCTAAAAGACATGAAGTTGTCTGATAGTTGAGTTTAGTTGTTATTTTGGTTTTTTTTCCAAAGGCTTTATTAATTGTGTCCAGATTCCTAAGATATTTTCATCTTGGTAGTAAATACCCAGAAAATTTATTAGTAGCAATTGATATATTTAAGAAACAGTCATGCTTATAATTTCTTATTTAAAGTTATTTCCCACTAATATAGTCTTAAGATTTTTTTTTAATAGAAAAAGTTGCTCAAAGAGATGTTTTTGTATAACTTTGAGGGGTGCAGGAATAAAAGTTATGCTATGTTTAAAATACATTCAGTGTCAGTGTACATAGGTAAGAGCACCTAACTCATTTGCTGATGTTTTCCAGGTATTTTCTGGAAATGTTTATCACTTACATTTTTCAGCAACTTCTGGAAATGTTACAATTTCATCAAAATTTCCAAAATAAGTGTTAACTTTACCTTCAAATATTATCATTTCCCTCTAATATCTTCCATCTATGTATGGCTCTCCTGTCTTATCCTGAGAAAGAATGAAAGAGATTGAACAGATCTGCATTTTCAGTCATGAGTTTGGGGTAAAGATATTTCTTTATTACCATTGAATCCAAATTTAAACAGTTGCTTAACAGGGAATAGCAGTCAATACAGTTCCTTTGAATAGCACAAAGTAAGAGATCAGAATATCACTCCAGAAAATCAAAAGGGAACAAATATAGCCTTAGCTTGAACTGGAAAACAGCCACAGATCTGCTGCAGAAAGCTCTGATTCTCTAAGCTCTGTAGCTAAACAGCATGAGTGAAAAAAAAAAATAGAAAAAGAAAAAAAAAACAAAACAGCAGAAGAATACAGAAATGTGAAGGAATTTGAAGGAATTCAGGCTTTTAGCAAGCATTCAAAATAAAGAGAGGGGAAGAGAAACCTGTGAATAGCACATCAATAATATGGTGTCTTTTTTAGAATTATAAGTGTCTTTCCAAAGCATAACAAAACAATGCCTGTTATGTTAGGAAATGGTTTTATCTTAAAAAAGGTAAAGTGCCTATTTGCAGAACAGCATCCCTCTTTCTTTTTTTCTTTAATCCCAAAGAAAGGAGAAAATACTTTATTCAATTGAAGGGTTGCCATGGCAACATGGATACCCATGGATACATGCTGAAATTCTTGCTTTCACCTTACTTTTTCTTCAACATGCTGCTGTTACCACTTGGCTGAGTGAACTATCCATCCACATTTTTCTCATATTTGTCATTTAAGTGACACTTCAGATCCCTGCCTCTTTTTTACCAGCAAGACTATCAGGAATCTTTTCTGGTTTTGTTTGTTTGCGTAGCTCATGTTTTAGGGTGGGTGGGAAGGGTTTTCTCATGTTTTCAGTTACTTGTTTGCAATGATTCAAGTGTTATACTCAGCATTAGGACTGCATGTGTCATACTAATGCTTTAGCAATTTTTGCAATTCCATGTCAACTTAACAGAAAACTATATGGGAATTGGAGATATTCTATAACATTTTGAGAGATTTTTTTTGTTTTGTTTTAGTGCTCTTTTGTACAATTATTCAAAATAATGGATTTGCAAAAAAAAAAAAAAACCCACAAAGAAAAATAAAGCAGTTGAAAATGTCTCTGCCCATGGAAGGAGGGTTGAACTAGCTGACCTTTAAAGGTCCCTCCCAACAAAAACTGTTCTATGATTCTAAATAGTAGGAGGTTAATTTTTTCTCTCTTCTACACCAGGAGTCATTTCAAGAACAACTGAAGTCAATGGAGTTGTTAATGCATAAAAGCCTACTGCAAATTAAAAGCAGAATCTTTCTGCTGGCAGTTAACTTTTGAGTCTGGGAATCCCCACAGTGTGCTAGACATAAGATGAAGAAAATAAAGTTGGAGAATCTAAGTGCTATTTCAGTTTGCTGTTGTGGTAAGCAGGAAACACCACCAACTTCAGCTCCCTCTATTCTGTCTCTCCTAAGACTTGAGAGAAGCAATTGCATAACACGGAGAACTGGCTGCTCTCGGATGTGCTGGGGTAAGCCTGCTGCCAATTCTTTGTTGCAAGCATGGAAAATTTCCCTTAGCACTTCATTCCATATCACCCTGAAGAACCACTTACACAAAAGCAAAGCTGCTGTAAAAGAGAAACAAGTTACACAAATAGAAAATAGATAAAATGCTTCTGAACTAATAATGACAGTACTTTAGATCCATTACCTGAAAGCATGACTTCATAAGAAATATGAATTCAGCTATTCAGACATAGTTATTTAATTCTAAGTACATTTTATCAGGGAGTTGTATTGCTAGCTGAATTGTCTGACAGCATTATTTGAAAAATTATTTTACATCTACCTTTAAAAACTGCAGGAAATTTTCAGAAATACAAACACCAGAAGCCAGCACTTCTTGATTCTTAAATCAGCCAGAGTCTTACATCCATCTGCTTCTGGATACCCAAGGAACTCACGAGCTTTATATTTTACTGCTATTTAATAGGTTGTGGTGCCAGCTACGGGCTGGTACATTAAAAAGCAAGAGCTCAAATGGAGCAACTATGAAGAAAGAATTTATGAAAGGTGTTCTCTAATGGTATGCTTACATGGATTATAAATTTGAAACATTTCCTGTTAGGAAGAGGTACCTCTTCACACGCCACCTCATGACCACAGCAGCAAGGTATCACGATCTGTGCAGAGCAGAAGCAGCCATTTGGGTATCCTCAGCCTCTGTGTCCCTGTCCATGGGATCATCTGTGGGTGACAGTGGAGCTGGGTCCCTGGATGCTTGGCTCCCCTCTAAGCCATGCTTGCTCAGGAGTTGCGTAAAGTAAAAGATGAAGAATTTACACATTTAGAGGAGTATAAATCAATAGCTAGGTTGATTGCATAAAAATTGGGGTTCGTTAATAATTAATCATCAGAAGAGTCCTACCATCTCTCTCTAGACAGATGTGTCTGAGTGATTTCACAGTAGACATGGAGACAGCAGCAGTGATGGTACAGCTTGGAGACAGCCAGAGAGCAGGGAGTCATGGCCTGTCAGACCAAGAGCTGCTGGTGAATACCTCATCAGTAATTGTTAACAGAATTTCCTACTCCAGCCCAGTACCATTTTGAGATGCTTAATTTGGTATAGGTTGCCCTCCAGTTCTGGGCTGCTTTCAAGCAAAATGGTGAAACTCAGCCAGCTCTCACTGAAAGATGAGAAAATACCTTGAAGGCCCAGGATTGTTTTAATGCTGCCAGTTCATGTTTGTCTCATCTTCTTTTAGCTTGAGTTTCACAGCTCCCCCAGTTTATTTATGTGCCATAAGGGGAAGAAAGACAATTAAGGACCTCACCCTTTTAGATGTTTCTTAGAATGCCTTCAAGGCTTTGCTTTGCTTATTTTCTCCCTTTCTTTCAGTCCTCTTCATGTTTAACTTTTCCATTCCTGCAATATTCATCAGAAAATGAAGAACCAGACATAAATATACACAATCTCTTAAAACCCTTTTAGTCTGCTACAGATCCAGCAGTTTTCAAAGTTGCAACTATAAAAACAAGGTGCCGAGGTATGGTTTGTATCTGGGAATTTCCTTGCATTTTCCCAGTTTTGATGCCACTTAATTAGGATTAAATTATGCCAGGCCCTAATGCAGCCAAAAAAAGAAAAAAATTAAACCTCTTTATAGCTGCTAAATGTTTTAAATCTAGTGTGAGAGCTGTGCTTTAATGACATTCCCAAGCAAGGTTATGAGAGTAAGTAGACAAAAACAGAGAAAGACAATGAATCAGTGCAAAATCTCTTCTGGCTCCATAACGGGATGCAAGGCTCCAACTCAGGAGCCCAGACTTCATGTAGGACAAACAAAGGTGAGAGGAAGTGTCAAGGAAGGTCATGAAGTGCCTACATCACACCTCTCTGGCCGGCACACATCAGCAAGTCAGGTGGTTGCTCTGACTGTAGTCTGAAGTGTTTCTGCTAGGCTGTCTAATCTGCAACACAACACTATGAAAATATGCTGGTAGAGCTTCTGAGGGGAGCTCAGTGGCCTCAGAGGAGAAGCAGTGGAAGGGATAAATTCTAATCCAGAGGTGTGGATTAACCCTTTGAGTGGCTCTACTGCCCCAACAAACTGAGGAACTTGAGATCACTTCGTGATCACCTATTTCAATACCACAGAGAACCCTCTTTTCCCAAGTGTTTAGGTATATCAGTGTTGAATGCCCTTGTGAGTACAGATCTAATAAACAAAAGTAACCCCAAGAAATCACTCACAAAATTTCCCATAGCTTTGAATTTAAAGACAGCAAGCAAAAGACTGAATATCACTGAAATCTTCTGTAACGCAGTTCCCTTTACTTTGGCACAGGGGCTGGTCTGTTCAAGCAGTTTCAAAGTAAAAGACAAAAGACTTTCCCATTTGCTAAAGGTGTGAGACAGTAGCCTCTACAGTCTGTTTTCTAAGAAACACTCAGAAGAGCTGTGTTCAATGTCTCAACTGCAGCATCTCACAGAGGGATGTTTTTTGCTGGGTGCTATAAGGTCCAGAAGCGATGCTGCATATTCTGGACTGCCATCTACTGGTATTTGCTCTGCTCACTACTTATATAAGCTTTTCCTTGGAGTAGCTTCCTAACAATTTCCCTGGAACTGGTGAACTCACACAAGCAGGTGCAGCTGGAATTTGAAGATTTGTCCAAGCTGAACTGAGAAATTTTCTCAGGACTGTTATGTAAGGAAATATCATGTTTTAAACCAACACATTTAGAGTAGAAAGTATTCCTGTTGAAGGAAAAGAAGGCAGTGATGTGACCCATTTTATGGATGCTTTATGCAGATCACATCCAGAAAGAACCATTTGACTGATCTATGTTCTATTATCACTTACACATCGCATAACTGTTAAAACAGCCAATTAGAGTTTCAGGATAGAGACATAATTAATATCACCTATTAAATTTTTCTGGAAAAGCAGTCTGGTTAATTTTATGAGTAGGCCTTAATTTTTAGTTCAGAAAAAGAAACAGCAAAAGATTACAAACAAGAGTTTTCATTCCTGGCACTTATGTTGTGGCATTTCTTGACCATGACTTCCCAAATGCCTTCTAGCTTCTGTCTCCTCTTTAGAATGAATTTGGTTAGTCAGACAGTTAATGAGGGCTACACCGAGGCATAAATGGAAAAAAAACAATTAGCACTCTAAAAATTTATAAGCTTCATGACATTAACAATTACATTAAATCCCACTGAAATGGATAAACAGAACCAAGGAGGAAAGTTTCTTTGTTTAGAGATATATTTAAGCTCATGCTTGAAGATTCCCTGTCTGAATATCTGAGAACTGGGTCTTGAACACAGCATGTGATTCCTCTTTAGGACACAGCAGGAATATATCCCCAGGGTAGTGGGAAAACAATGAAAGATAGGAGATGGCAGGATGGAGAACCCAGGAGATATGAGCCTAGATAAAGGCCATAGGAGAGATAAATAGAAAATCCACACTGAGCCAAGTGACAACTGAGAAACAGGTTGAGCTTCACCAGCCAAAACACACTTGCCTTCATCACTAGTGCACTTTTAGGGACACAGAATGGTACATTTTTATAAACAAAAAAATTACTAGAGCTTCTCCTGAATCATCCACCTATTTTCCTTCTAATGGGAATCAACTCAGTAACACAAACCAATAAAAACTATGTTTTGTGTTTATAACTGGGAGCCTCTCCCTGTCACTAGCTCTCCTTTATTGGTGGGGATTCTTAGAAGAGACTCCTCAGAGACACACTCCTGACCTGAGTCCCTCTTAGAGGGACAACCCTGACCCATTTGGTGAGCTTCTGAGAGAAATGTGCTGGTGCAATTCCCTGCTGGAAAACTACCTATAGCTTCCAAGGGCACTTCAGTAGTTTTAACAGAGATAGACAGATTGCAGCTTACAGACCAGTGCCAAAGGATAAATTGCTCTGATAAGCTTTCTTATATACCCCCAAATTAGATGAGAATAATTTTTTTCATGATATTCATATTCATAGAAAATTTATCATTTAACAACTCCAGATTCTTAAGGACTCTGTTATATCACCAGCTTCATCAAGCATTATCTGTGAATTTGTTGTCAAATCCTTTACAAAAGGATTCATCTGATCTCCTTACATTCGTTCAAAAGTTAGTTCAGCAGCACATCAACTTGCCTTTGGCTCTGTCTTTAGATAGTTCAGAAGCACATCTGAGCCTCCAGGGTGTGATTCATCCCACCCTAATGCAGAAATAGAGCATTAAGTTGAACACTCTTAATTTTGCTTCCCTTGCTAACTGCAGTCCAGAGACAGTTTCTGCATTGATTTTTTTGCTCATTTTATTTCTTCAACTTGGTCAATGTTGAAAGTTAGGCACCCCTAGAGCTAAGTGCATCTCACCTACCAGACATCTGGTTTGGGAGAGCTGAATCACACTCAGGAGGTGCCCCTCTCCTGACTCCAGAGGTCATCCTGAAGTGTTGCTTCAATCTCACAGTTTCTACATGGCTAGTATAGGTGAAATGAATCTCCCACCCACTTCCTTCAACAGAGGATCTCATGTTCTTCCATCTCATTCAAGGCAGAGATTATTGCTTTCACTCACCTCCTTGTTCATTGTTTTGGTCCCTGAAATAGAAATATACCTTAGGATAAAAGAAATTGAGGTTTCAGTGTTAGGTGTTTTCTCCCCTATGATGTCTCACTCACTAATTAGACCTATTCTTTCTCTACTCAACTTTCTCATTAACACTGATTACTTGCTAACTGCAGAGTCCTGTGTTTTAAAGGGGTCTCTGGTGGTTTGGAGTTTTACTTGTTTCGATGTTTTTTCAAAAGGAAAGCAGAACGATAAATAGTTGAGTTTGATTCAGAGCCTCAATATTACCTTCTAGAACAACTTCTAGAAATTCTGAGCCACTGTTTTTTTGTTTCATTCTCATAGACCCACCATTGAACTGCCTTGTTCTTCCAGGAATCTCAAATTGGACTGGCAGCTTCTGCAGATCATCTGAAAAATAATGACTTTTTATGTCATTGTAACTGGACTTTGTCTGTGAACCCAGAACACTTATAAAATTATGCTGGATTCTGGCAGTATTTTACATCTCTATCCATCTCTCTAAGACCTTTCACAATCTCCATCACTATGGTATTTCAGTTGGTGATACAAGTTCATCTGCACAACATTTCTAGGAAGTACAGTAGCAAATTTTCCCATTTCATACATGTAGCATCATTAAGACATGGAGAAAGTAAGTGTCCATTTTGAAGCCAAAAATCCTCCATTTAGCAAATTCAGCAGCAGATTTAACTCTGTGTCCTGTTGCATTGGTGGGTAACACTGAATTTAGCCTCAGTGAGTTCTGAAGAGCATGAATTATTTGATGTCTTAGTCCACATGGGTAATTTCAGATACAGATCAGTGTATGACTCCAAAATGTGCACTGTATTAGAGGGCTGTTTTGTATTAAATAACCATCTTATATTAAAATTATACACATAAAAGGTAAACAATAATATATATTCTTGAAACAAACTTATTACATTGTACATTTTCTTTGTTCTTAAGAAAAAATCCATCAAAGTACCTCTTTTGTTTTATTTTTTTTGTAATTGCAGCTCCTCTAACAGAAAGTGTTTTATGCAGGTAATTTGCACTCGGTCTGAAGAGTACAACAGTCAGCAGGCTTTATGCAGTGCCACGAACGAAGGGCCTATAAGGAGAAATCCTGGGAACAATGATAAATCAAGGACCCCAAGGCTCCCATCCTCAGCTGATGTCGAATTTTGCCTTTCACTGACTCAGTATGAATCTGGACCCATGGATAAAATGGCCAATTACAGTTTCCGAAACACTTTGGAAGGTAACATGCTTTATTCCATCTGTAAAATGATTCTCTCTGGGATTAGAGTCTTCAAACTCTGGGCAGTTTGAATGGATTTCATGAAGAATAACTGTCAAAGAAGGAAAAAGTTATGCTTTCACCTGGAATAGCAGCAGTCAGAACCACATTAAAGGTGTTTGATAACAAACTAGAAACTATAGACTAGATCAGACGCTAAGTCTGTTAGGAGATACTGTCTCCTGCTACAGTCAGGACCAGGCACTGCAAAAAAACAGCACAGCAGAAAAGGAGCACTTCCAATAGTCTGCTTGTGCACAACCATACGTAACCATGAAACCATGGAGGGTACATGTTTGCCCTGGAATTCACTGTCTTCCAGGGATCAGGCTTGAAAACAGGTGTGAAGGAGGATGTTGCCAGCTGGCACGTTATGTCTACATCATTCCACTGTGAACTCCATAGTAGATTTTTTCCCAAGCTCTAAGGAACATGGATTAAGTTACCCTTCAAAAATTACACTTAATATCATTTCCAAAATAATTTAGTTGTTTATCTTAGTTATCTAAACTATTTAACTGCTTTGAATTTTCCTAATTGGCTAGTAAACAAAAGTTCTTTACTAAAATAAATTCTTAATTATGTGTCTACTAAACTCTTTTGAATCTTGTAAAATTGCTAATAAGCAATAACACACTGTACATTTATCATTGAATATATCTCTACAATATCATATATCAGCTGAATCAAATGTGATCTGCTTTTGACCTCCCACAGTTTTGGCTTGCAAGGAACTGCATAAGGGCATAACAATACAAAATAGGAGTAGGAGTGGGAATAAGAAAAGAGTCATAAAGACAGTAAGAGGGATGAAGCACCTCTTTTATAAAGACAGGCTCAGAGAGCTGGGGTTCTTCAGCCTGCAGAAGAGAAGGCTGCAGGGGAAACATACTGGGGCCTCCCAGTACATTTAGGGGGCTTATAAAAAGAAGAGAGAGGGACTTTTTATGTGGTCAGATGGTGAGAGAACAAGGGGCAACAGTTTTAAACTGAAAGGGTGAAGGCTTAGATGAGATATTAGGAAGAAATTCTTCACTCAGAGGATGGTGTGGCACTGGCACATGCTGCCTGGAGAAATTACTCCATCCCTGAGAGTGTTCAAGGCCAGGTTAGTTTGGACCCTGAGCAACCTGATCTGGTGAGTGGGATCCCTGCACGTGGCAGAGGGGGTTGGAACAAGGTCCCTTTAAGGTCCCTTCCAACCTTAACCATTCTATGATTCTAAGACAGCAAAAGTTTTAATATATTCAGTCTTAGTCTTTATGCAGCGTGTAATGCCTTAAAGCTTTTTTGGGAAAAGCGGACTATTTTCTTTTTTAAAAATAGTCAGAAATTCAGAATTTCAGTCTAGAAAGAGCCCAGACAATAACTGTTTGTATCTCCAAACATATCTGTGCTTTTTGTCCTTGAAACCAGAAATTCATGAAGTATTGGAAAGAAAAGGTGACATAGCTGAGTTGAGGTTTGCCTACACTTTACTCTATAAAGTGTGAATAGATGCAAAGGGTGGAGTAGAAGGGGTAAAGAAAAAGGAATTGAAGTAAACCAGTGATGAATTACTGAGGATTTACCATCATGCTACTGGTATTGCAAACAAAACCAAAAGCACAGTCTGTGGGAGTTTTTTTTATTTTGTTTTTTAACCTGAGTTATTTCAACACAACTTTACACCACAGGACCACAAACATTTCTGCCAACCAACTTATTTAGCTAACAAGATACTGAACTGCAATGTGAAGGCAAGAATTCATGGCTAACATTGAAAAAGATGGTGGAAAGTTTTTAAAGAAATTTTACTGAAAAAATTCCCTTATAATTGCATTAACTCCTTTTTTAAAAATGGCTGGCTTAGTTTTTTGTTGTGTAAAAATGCCAAGCTTATATTGGCAACTTGCATTTACTGTGTCTGCGCCTACTCCTTGACTGCGTTCTTACAAACCTGTTAACACTTCGTAGTTCCTAACATTTTGTTCTTTTTCAAAGCAAAACATTTTTCAACCCTGCTTTACTTATATGCACAATTTTGTACTAATACACCTAGAGTCAAATTCTAATTTCTTTTAGATCCCAAGGAAATCCCAAGTAAGTGCATTGACCTTATTGGAGTTACTCTAGGTTTAGGAAAGGTGATCAGAACTAAGCCAGTGACTGTAACTGAGCACTTCCTGATTTACACCAATGTCAGATTTACACCTCAGTCTCAGTTCTGTAATGAAAATACTTGTGATCACATAGAACATCCCCTTCTGTGAAAAACTTTATGCTTTTCCTTACTTCAGGCTAAAACTTTTATCCTTCAAAGGGGCAAGTATCAGCATCATTATGACAAGAAGGCAGGCTGAAATTTCTATTTGACTAACATAAAGTGCTGCTGCAGGGAAAGAAATTATGTCACTGAAGAATTTATATCACAACAGCCATAAACAGAAAAGGTCAATATTGTTCAATAAAGCACTCCCATGAGGCTGTGCCCATGAATTGCCCTCTCACTCTGTGGCAGACCAGATTCTGCTACAAATAAAAAACAACAGGTTAAGGGCAGTTTACACTTTGCCCCTGAAAGCAATTATTTTAAATAGGATTTGTTGATTCGTGGTCCTAACTGGGGAACACTGCTGACTTCATTGGAAACTTCATGGATAAAAGAGAACAGAAAATCAGCCTAGTTTAAAAGCATCCAAAAAGATCAGAAATGGATTAGCTGACTGCAAATGAAGTAGTTTGGCTTCTTTTTTCTGTTTGGTTTCGGTGTGTGACACCTTGAATGCTACTTCCTAAGAATAAGAGACAGCTGAAAAATTTAGATTTTCTTTTTCATTATAAGCAGATTCCACAGTTGAAATTAGTTTATTCACAGCAACTTAAAATGAAAATCAGGACCTTCTAAGTTTTACACAAAGTCACAGAAGAACATTAAAAAAATTCTAAAACTCTCTATCGCTTTCATTATTTATGAATTAACTCATGACAAATGGTATCAAGCCAAACCATGTCAGAGCATTCCATTGTCTGTCACAATTATGTATTGTTATTGCTAATCTGCCATGAAATAATAGAATAAAGCATCAAATATTTCAAAATGTAATTTCATTTCAATAGGACATTTTCCCTTTTTTTTTCTGAAATGAGAAATTTTCATCTGGAAAACTTTTCTCAGTATTTTCACAGCAACCCATAAAGCTATAGAAAAAAATGGTTTCTAAAAATGAAGTTACCCAACAGAAAACTTCTAATTGAAAAAGTTTCAGGCTACAGCCAACATTACTCACCCAGCTTGAACCTCCACCTCCTAGGCAAATTTATGCTGCACACTGAGAAAATGTTGCAAAGAGCCATTGCTAGAGAACTAGAAAGACTACTCAACACAGATCACTTTGAAACTCTAAAAAATAAATTCTAAGAAAAAATAGGTAGATGGTGACATGGTTTAAATTAGATAATCACAAACTTTCATTTACTCCAGTCACATAGGTCAAATTCTATGGATCTTGCAGCTAGCTCACTCTAGAGAGATTACAGTAATAACACCACCTGAGAAAGTATGTAAGATTTAACCCTGAAAAATTTCCTGTGAATTTGCCAATGGCATAAATACTGCACAAATATAAGCTAGAAGAACATCACTAACTTCAAACAGCTTCTAGAATATGGCCTTAAAATTCTTATATTCATCCTGTTTTAAGGCAGATGCATCTGTCTGACCTGAACTTCTCTAAACTGTGAAAATTTTATTAAGGAAAAAAATCATACTCAGGGAACGGGAAAAAAAAT